TCTTCACTTTGTGAGTCTGAACGGAGGACAACTGTTTTGCGTGCCTTTATACGTATGCGTGTTTGTTCAACTTGTTTCGCAGCGTACGTAGCCAACCGTGTTAATCTGAGGTGCCGGGCAAGGACAACAAACCAAAGACAAAAAGCAGTTTGAAAAAAAAACAGTTTTGAATTTCGATTTAAAAGTGCATAGATCCAGTGGCTTCCTAATATCGGACGGAAGAGCATTCCAGACGACAGCAGAAGCGCACCTGAAAGCATGCGATGCAGTGACTGTCATTGTTTGATGGCTAGCCAAACCCCTTTGGGATAGTCAGGTTACTTTTATTTCTGTTTACATACGTGGCGCCTTTCTGACATCAATCTGCCACTCAAAGCGCCATCACATTAAAATTCAACATCAAATTTGAATATAATAAACAAGGGGACAAAAGTATATATTGACATACTATCTACATATTCTTGTTTTTTTCGGTAAAGTTACGTAGAAGGGAAATAATAAAATAATAAAAAACAATACAATTCTCACGACGTTTCGATTGCAACACAAGCAATCATCATCAGGTGTGAAAACAACGGCAATACATTGTATTTTATTATTTCCCTTCTACGTGACTTTACCGAAAGAACCAAGAATATGAATCCCTGCAGTTACGAAAGCTTTAAATCGAAACACTATCTGCAGTTGTGTAAATCTGTAGCTGCAGTGGCGTCACAGTGAGAACTCTGCAGTTGCAATCCAGATGTCGGTAGTTTGTTTCTCCAAGCGCAGCGGTTGAAAAAATTTGAACGTTTCTTGAATCCACCAAATCTTCTCCCACCCAGCAATGTCAATAGATTCACTACAGTTAGTCGATCAACGGGCTGCGTGTGGTGGGGTAAAGCGTGGGTACTCCCACCTCTTCCAAGACGTCTGGCAAAAGTGGAAGAGTAGGCCAAATATTCGAGAGAGATATCGAGAGCTCCCTCTGGTGGGATGCCCTTTTACCAGCAGTGGTATGAGCAAGGAATTGCTGGCCTGCACTTTCCCATCAAATCACATAAAATGAGCTTCCTCTCGTCGAATCCCCAAATATTATCCTCCTATCACCAGAACCCCTAATACGCGCGCTGCCAACGTTTTAATTTCGGCAAGCAGATGGCAAAACTAACGGGGGAATCGCCGTCACATTCATCACTGGAGATGACAGCGCTGGCCTACTGCAGGTGCCATGCCGCCCGTGCCACAGGAATGGAGGCTTCTCGGTGCCAAACTTTAGATGGCTCACCCTTGAGGGCGGCGAGCTCAATATTTCCAGCATGCACAATATGCCGGGGGGACGGGGGGGGGGGTGAATATTGGATCCTTTCACTGGGCTGTCTGAGATGTCCAATATCAAGTTAGACACACTTTCCCAGGCGAGCTGCCAAACGGGATCCCATCTCCGTTGCGCTGACTTAACGGCGGGGGTGTGGGGGGGACGCGGGTACATCTGCTGGACTGCGGCTCACGTTCGACCGAGGGTTGCATGTGCCGATTGAAAAGGAGAAGGGAAATACAAGCGTCATAACATTCTCACCGAGCACACGATCGAAAAGGGGCAGAGGCGTGAGAGAGAGAGAGCGAGAGAGATGTTGGGTTGCCAGATAGAGCCATGTCATTTTGTTTTCGTGCATTTTGAAGTTAGGGAGATTTGAATAAATACACGCAGACCTGTGTCACGTAAAAAATATTACTTGCAAAGGTTAAAAAGCAGCATTGCATGCCTACTGTGAAACTACCGCAGAGAATATTTGTCCGTGAAAAAAAAACACATACGTGGTCACCTTGTGTTTTATAAATGGTGCAAACACCAGTGTACTAATGATTTAATTATTGTATTGAACTCGTCAATGATGCAATCACTTGGTTAAGAATATTTGAGGTCGTATAGTTAGTTATGCAACGGTGCAAGCAGCGTTTCCTGGCTAGTGTTTTTTTTCCTCCATACAGATTAGCGTGTCGATGGATGTGCGAATTAGGTGGAACACATGCTGCAGGTTTATTTATGCAGAATCATTTATCTACTAAGCGCCTGTATATGTTTTCCCAAGCATAAACTATGAAGCTATAAACACACCGAGGCTGGCTGAAATGCATTCTTTATAGCAGGCAATGAATGATGCAATGGAGTAAGGGTTTGTGCACCACATGGAGGTTATGCTGTGGATGCAAGAATCCCATCTATTGAGCTACAATGTGGCTTTTAGATCGCGGTAGAGCAAAGGGGTTTCCTGACCCATCTGTGTGGACTTTTCCGTATTTATTTCAGTACTAGGGTGTCCTCCAAATATGCCAGTTTCCTCTCACGTGCAAAACTCCTCAACAAAAAGGATGTGGCCAAACGTCAGAAGGTAGGAACCTCCCTGAAAAGTAATCTTGAGACAGATATTTGATAGAGGGACACAAGTGGAAAACAGAGCGGATTTTGTGTGTAGTGCCTATATGGGGTAATAATTGAATAAGGCTTGGGATCAAAATGATGAAATGAAGAGGAAATCAAGCAGGATGTAGGTGCTTTTTAAAAACTGAATTTGATAATGGAATTCAACATACCAACTCGCCTGAAAGAGTAAGTGTTCAATCACTGCACATCACCTGCTATGCCATATATCAGCAACATGGTGCACTGAAAAATAAAATGAGACAAAAGATGAAAGGAATGCAAGAGGCGTGGGGAGGTGCACGCTTCGATTCCACTCAGCGTCAACCAAAAAAGAGGAACACATCAGGGAACTGATACAAGCTGGGCTTGGACCTATTAAGAGTAGCAGTGGGGTAGGGAGACCTTCACCCCACAGTATATATATATCATAGCTGGGGTTGATGATGATGAAAGCTTCACCAACAGCTATTTCCTTATCAGCCAAGGGACAAAAATATGTCATTGTCATTTTCTGAGAAATATGTCCATCTTATTTTGGCCCAGCCAACTTGTGAGTGTTCCCCTTGTGGCCCAAAAAATGCATCATATGTTCAGACTACTTGCACGGCTCAACTGGCAGAGACTTAATGATGGGATTGATTAGGGGCCTGGAAAGTATCCCAAGACACAAGAGACAGTTGTTGCATCCTTACTCTGAGTTTCCCTGCCAAAACTCTCTCTGTAATATGCTTGCATCCATTAACAGAGCTCTTTTTGCCATCTGTCCGAGTCGAAGGTGGCCTTTGATTCAGAAAGACCACGAGAAAATGGAAACGGTACGGGGAGGCTTTCATCCAGAAGCGTTTCGCTCAACGTGCTGGGCGTTTCTTCAGCAGCTGAATTGAGTTCCTGAAGAAGCTCTCACCGCGTGGAGCTAAACATCGGATATCGTTACGAAAGACATGCTGTAGAATCCAATCGCACATTAGAGAGCTAATAATCACAACCGTGGAAACACAGGCAGCAGCATGTATAAGCAGTTTAACACGTAGGCTTTCGCGACCAATATCATCGATAACACTGGTCAACAAAAAAAATTCTGGCCTGGACTTTTGCAGCTGTTTTAGACTAATTTCAGGGTGCTGAATCCAAATCTGATCTCAGATTTGCTCTATTACATCTCATTTTTATGCTATCGGCATAGCCCATTGTCATTGATTTTACTCGAAATTAACTCTGTCACTTATGATTGCAAGTTGTTTCGAGTCAGTGACTGCTTTAGTGTTAAAATATCGCGCTGTATTTTTAGGATAGTGTCTTCATAATATCATTTTATGTAGATATCCACATTTATTTAATATTTTTCTTCCGCAGTTTTTATTGAAAATGCAATATTTGATATCTCAAAACCTGATGTGATAAACAAAAACTGATACCAGATTTGGAATCAGCACCCCAAAATTACCTTAAAACCGTTGGAATACCTTATGCCAGAAAAAGTGTGTTGACCAGTGTAATACAGGTTTTTTTGGGGGTATATTGCGTAAATATATAAATGTGTCGTTAAACCCACCACCACCCGACACAGCCAATTAGTAAGGTTTGTCACGTAAACTAAACATGCCAATTCGTTACTAGTACAGCACACCGGTGTGTTGGAGAGCAAAGCCACAACATGTTTACGATTCTTAATGTTTACGACATGTGTACAACTGTAAACATGACTAATCGGCTGTGTCGAGTGGTGGCGGGATTAATGACACATTTATATCATTACGCGATGTAACCCAAAAAAACTGTATTATTTTTAAGCAGAACTCCATTCTATGTGACCACACATACATAGAAATATATTTTTTATCCATTAGTCTACGGACTTCCCAGACCAATGCCAGCAAGCAGCATGTATTTCAGCAAGCAAACGCCAGATTAGTTGCAATCTTCTGGGTTAGAGCATCAGAACCAGGCTTGTTACGCAAACATGCTGCTGGCTAATCAGATGTCCTCGTATGTTGAACTTCTTTCGTACCGTACGTAGCCAACCGTGCTCATTGGATTTAGATGTAGAAGTACATAGCTCCAGTGGCTTCATAATATTGGAAGGAAGAGCGTTCCAGATGGCCGCAGAAGCGCATCTGACAGCGCGCGATGCGTTGAACGTTTTTGTTCTTTGGCAAGAATGCTGAATATGCAAGAATGCTGAATATGTAGATACAATATTTTTAAAGTATTTAAAACTATGAAGCATTTGATTTTATTTTAGCAGATAAGGCCCACTGAACTGGAGAACATGCAAACAAAAAATAAACAGGCGTCAAGGTCGGGAACGATTTCAAGACCTCCTGTATACCAGGCGAGGTAGTTAACATCACGCCACCGCGGCACCCTATGTGGACCCCATACAACGCAAAAAAGCAGCTCTGTTTGATGTGGCTTGGTCGCATTCGTTTTGAATCACGGCCGATGATGTTCGCAGAGTCCCTGTTCCCCCTCTATTCCGCGGGCGACGTTTTATACCGGGCTCACGTGGAGTTTCAATAGTGAACAACAACAACAACAAGAATCACGGTCGTTTGATGACACTTAGCGATGTGAGCCAAGCAATGAGGTCACTCACGTAGGGGAAACCGAAGAGGTTGAACTCGAGCATGCCGGGGATGGCCCACTTGATGTCATTCCAGTTGGCCCCATTGTCACCAAGCCAGTGGCCGGCGTACGATCCAGATCCGGGCATCGTGGACCGGGAATAGATGATGCTCCTCTTCTCCTGTCCGAAGATCTTGACGATGGCCCTGTGAATTGGGGCAAAGGTGCCGGACCTAACGTCACTGCGCAACGACCCGGTCGTTTCGCCTGCCGGTCGGCGAGCAATGGAGTGATGGCACCAGCTCACATCGCAGCCTCACAAACCTGCAACGTTCATCACCTCACACACTCGTTTGGTGATTGATTAATGCGCACATTCATTGCTACCGCTCTCTACGATTAGCACGGTCGGCTACGTACGGTGCGAAAAAAGTTCAACTTACATGCATATATCTGTCGAGGCGACAGCGTCTGAAAAAAAAGACCTGGTTTTCACCTGAGGACGGCTACTTGCGTTGTGGCCGAAACGTCGTGAGAATAATTATTATTATGTTTTATTTTTATTATTTTATTACTTCCCTTCTACGTGACTTTACCGAAAGAACCAAGAAGATGAATCCCTGCAGTCACGAAAGCTTTAAATCGAAATTTGCATACATATACATAGAATATATATGTATCGGGCTAAGCTTTGTCTCTTAGAGTCTGTAAACTTTGAAAGCCAACCTTGATAATAAACTTGATTTGAAGCTTTCGTGACTGCAGGAATTACTCTTTGGTTCTTTCGGTAAAGTCACGTAGAAAGAAAATAAAGTAAATAATAGAGTACGACGCTTCGATTGCAACACAAGCGACCGTCATCAGGTAGAACTAAATTTGTAAGAGAGACAAAACACAGACACGGAGACACACAGACAGACATACAAGCAGAGAGAGACAACACAGACACACAACATAGAAACACAGAGACCCAATGCCTCTGTGTCGAGGCCTTAAAGAAAGAACCAAAGAGTAACCTTGATAATCTAAGACGTAGCTCCTGTGCTAAGCTCCTAAAATAATAAGTGTAGGGTTTCACGTGTGTGCTGTACAGCTCGCCAACGTGTTTATCTGAAGAAGCTGACAGCAAAAAAAACATTGGATATGCCCAATAACACACGGCACAAGCAGAAAATACATTGGAGAGCCATAAAATTGTTTCCCAATAAGGACGTTCCTCTTTCAAGAACAATGCTCCGCTCAAATTTCGATTCAAAGCTTTCATGACAGCATGGATTCATCTTCTTGGTTCTTTCGGTAAAGTCACGTAGAAGGGAAATAATAAAATAATAAAAAATATTATATTATTGTATTATTTTATTATATTGCTTTATGTATGTAGAACAATACCCAATCTGCTTTACATTTCAAAACCAGACCATCAATGTGCATTTTTTATGTGTGATTAGATCTGCTACTGAGATCTCTCGTCTTAAAAAAAAAGTTTGTATTTAACATATTTCTGTCTTATATTGCTATGCAGTGCCCCCATTGTTTGTTAATATCTTCGTTTTGAATTAATGTATCTGTTTGATGTACAGTATGTGTATATCTTTTTATGAGTTTTAATGCAGTTAACATATCATGCATTTATTTTACAGTTCGTTAACTTAAACCTTGAAGACCAAAGAGTCGATGGAATAAAACATCATTTATTTGTATGCGGGGAAACAGAAGGGGCTTTTTTTTATAACGAGGAATTCATGCCAGAGATGCCCGGACACCATCAATTAGAGGGCAGTGCACTTACCAATACCATCTGGGAAACCGGCAGAATGTGTTTATCAAGAGTGAGACCCGAGAAGGTCAAACCCCAACCAGAGTTTTTCTTCTTTGAACAAATGCTATTATTTCGCACAATTATAGGAGACTTCATTTAAATTTTCTACTGTTACGTTGAGATATGGAATGGGAGGTCAGTTTATTAAGTCGGTTTAAATGAAAGCAGTCAATCGTGTGTGCCACACCGGTTCGTAACAACACGTAAAGTGCTTTCGAAGTCCAAATGAGACAAAAATGCAATTGCCTTGCGCTAAAACCTACCGGTAGGCTTGGGTGCATCTCGGCTTATGCATGCAATCCATGGACACGATTGTTGGTGGATAACATGAAGAAAGCACCGTCGCACGGGTGATAAGCCACGCCGCTGGGCAAATAAATGGGTGTTGCGAGCAGTGCAGCAAGTAGTTTTCTGGCCTATGCATGTCCACTCTCATTTGTTATCCCTGTACAGATGCTGCTGTCGTGTTAAGTTTGGGGCACTGGACATGCAGTCCAGAGATTGCCGCTTCGATCTATCGGCGGCCATTTTTAAAAGTCCCTCCGCCTCGGTCAACACAGCGGCCTAAATGAGCACACCACAGTTAGTCGATCGGCAGGAGGCTGATGGTGGGGTAAAGTGTGGGTACTGCCAGCTCTTCCAAGATGGTTTGTGCAGTGGAACATCTGCCAGCAGTGGCTTGAGCCAGTCAATGTAGGGCTGCACCCTTACTGTCTTAGAACGTCTAATTTATGCTTGAAACTGAAATAATGAAAAAGGAATTGGACAAATATTTCAAGACCCTTCTAAATAGATATTAAAAATTCACTGGTGGTTTCTTCGGTCGAAACGTAATATCGTTGTTTTATATTCGTGTTCATGTGGCGTGGGTGTGTGGGTGTGTGGGTGCGTGCCTGGCAGTGGTGAGCGTGCTACACTATAATCCTGGCTTCCCGGGTTCGATTCCCGCCCATGACCAACACCAGTGACGATTATCTGAACCGGTCCTGGGCCTCCTATAGGTCGACTCAGCCTCGCCTTCGTGGTCGGGCGTGGTGATGGCCACCCACTCCCCTCGTGTAAACTGTGCCGGCCTTCAAAAGGGAGACGTGGCACAGTGGATAGCAATGCAATGCGCTCTGAGCAGAGACCCGCGTTTGAGTCCCATCAACGGCTACCATCAGTGGCTATCGATATCTGAATTGGTCCTGGGATCCTGTTCCGCTGACTCAGTTTAAATTATAGGGGCGATGATTACTATGCACAATCTGAATTGAGTAATTTGCGGGTAATTATTGTTTTTTTTACTTGGCAAATTTGAACCATGAAGCTAGCAAATAATGGCCTATTCTTGCGAATGACGTCAAATATTCTTTATTGTCCGCTATTAAGCCAATGACGAGTATTTTTTACGGTTCATACACCCGCAGTAATAACCACGTGGGGGATATTTGTTTACGTGTTCACGTATGCAAGCATGTGTCCATGTGTATGTACGTGTGTGCGTATGTATGCGTGCATGCACGTGATTACACATGTACGTACATGTATGCATGCACGCATTGTGCTTTCATTTCAGTACACACGCCTGCCTCAGTGTGCCATGGTATGAGCAGTATAATGAGGCTCAGTCTGTTATCTCGGTCAGGAGTGTGAATACACAACCTGCTGTCATGAAGGCAGGCTTCTTCCAAGCAAGCTATGTCCTTAAACATCAATCAGGCCATCTGCAACGGCGACACTGAATGCATAATGCAGGCAGTGCAAGTGGGTGGTTTTTCACCAAACCATTTGACGTTCGCAACTGATTAAAACATATCTCACCTTCTCTGTATTAAGTAATTTATGGTGTCTCAGTATGTGCGTCGCTTTGGTATTATTCATCTATAGTTTAACTGGAATTACACTGTCGAAGTTTATTATATTATTGAATTCCGCGAGTGGATATTTTTTTGTTCGTTTATGTGAACCAAGGTTTCGTTAACGATTTAAGTTTGATTTTTCATTGAAAAAAGCCTCCAGTATGCTGCCTTAAAAAAAGAAAATCTCCACACAGTTGACATATCTGGAAACCTTCTCACTCACATCTTCTGCTGCTCAAACAGAGTCTGTCAATATTCAGACTCACCGCATTATTCTCGAGCAAATATGACAACAGGGAGGGTACGCATGCTAATTTCCACGTGTTTTTAAATTATTGATTTGGAATTAAGCTAAGCGGTGCATTTGGGAGACTGTGCCAGATGCTGAAACATAAGCTCCATTCAGCACGGGAAACTTAATACAAACGAACATTAAAAATGAGTTTGTTTCCCCAAATAAAGTAGAATTGTTCACCACTGGAATACGTTTTAAAATGAAATCCGCATACATGAAATGAAATCTAATGTGATCATCTTCACACTACGGATTTTTACTTATTGTCTCCAAGGCTGATGCCAAGCTTTGAAATATTCGAACAAACCAGACTAAAAACAGTTAAACATCTCATTCAAATGGAATCCTTACCAATGAGGCATTAAGTAATTTCAGGCATGCACATTTGCCTTCTATAGAATAATATATTGCATATGACACGTGTTTTATAATGTTTTATTCTTAAAGCTCTGACCAACATGTACCACAAATACTTAGTTTTGTTGTTCGAAAATGCTGATTTAATTATGTTGGGGTTATTTGCTGTGGCTGCTGCAGTACAAAATATTTATTTTGCCATTTTCTGCCCCTGAGCATTTATTTTTATTCCAAAGAGAGAAATATTGGATTATGCCTCTATTGAGAGCTGAATGTCAGCAAATGGGGAAAGCATTTTCAATCAGAATTACAAACACAGAGAAAACTAAATACTGTTAAAGGGATCATAATAGCTCTGCCCACCTGCATTTCCATAAATTTATGTATCTGATTATTTTACATTTATTACCCCTATAGACCCATGCGAGGATGAGGCAGTTTGTTTACAATGAGGAACATATGGCAGCATGCAAACACTTGCGAATGGGAATAACAATACAGCACTGTAATAATTTATTTGCTCGTATAAAAAGGCATCAATGTGTCTCAAGACGATTATTCAGAAGGGCCATACTACCGTGGTTACTGTTGCCATGAACTTCACTCATTGATTCCTCAACCCATACCAGACACTGACTCTTTAATCTGAACTCTTTCTCAGAAGCGACCTGGCCACAAATGATAGCTCAACGAAGTGGCTTATCACGTGGATATTTATAGCAGCCAAATAGTCTGAACGGACGTTTTTTGTGAGGACCCGGAGAAAAATCCACGTGACCACGGGGAATACGTGAAAACTCCAAATGCACAGGTATCGTCATGGTCGGAAATTTCACCCACGACCTCCTGTACATCAGATGAGGTAGTTAACATCTCGCCACCATGACGCCGTCATCCATATTGTGTTCGACACCTTTCTGCAGACCAAAACATTATTCTTTCTTATTCGCACTGCTTGAATTAGGCCTTTCCTTCCTTTATCTTGTTTCCCCAAGTTCGTATGGCCTTGCACAATTTTTATCTATTGCCTCTTATCTGTAATACTTGCAGCAGTACACCTGTTTTTTTTATCTAATATACACCTGTTTGTTGCTGACTACGTGGCGTTTTGGGCCTTTGAGTCTTTGCTCAGCAACTGATAATAAAACACTCTATATATAATATATGCCGAAATTATATCTATATATTTTTAAAAATGCTTACATAAGAGTGAAAACCAGAGTGCCAAGATAAATATAGGTATTCGACACGTAAAATAAAACAATATCCAACATTTGCAACTAGATGATAAACCTACTTGCTGTACCACCCCCTCTTCCTCCCCCCGACTAAGGACAATATTTAAAAACAATCAGGTTGTATTGTGACCACTCGCCTGAAACACTGCTCACCCAATACAACTCACAATTCACCTCACACTATTCCATGATGCTGACAGTAATTTTGTACAGTATTTGTAGTGCACTGGAGATTTAACTTTACGTACTAAAAACTAAACGATATTTGCATTTTACCAGCTCTTTTCAGAAACGATCTAGAAATCACAAATGATAGCTGAACGGAGTGGCTTATCATGTGGAAATACATGTTAGCCAAATACTCTTAAACGCATGTTTCTAAATGTGGACAGAACATCCGAAGGACTCAGATAAAATCCAAGTCCAAATATACAGCAGGCGTTAGGGCTGGGATTGAACCCACTACCTCCTGTATACCAGGCGAGGTAGTTACTTTAGCGTATGTCCTTTAGGTCATATTTATCCACGTTTGATCAATCCGATCATGTGATCCAAAATGAAGGCGTCCCTCGAATGTATGTACTCAGTAAAGTCCATCATCTTCAACGGGCTGGTTGTGAAACAGCCATGAGGGAAGAGATTTTAATTCCATTCACTTCATTCACATAGTGCCTGCTCACTGGGCCAACAATCTTTGGTCACTGCCAACTGATCTCTACCTGCCTTGCTCGACATAAACTGATTCAAAGGCCAAATAGGCCTTTGGATGAATACGTACGTTTCATGCAGATGCATGCATTATGTAATCCTTTCTCATGTAGACATTTAATTAACAGTACCGAAACTGCTCGGTAGCGATCGGCCCAAATGTGTTTGCGTATTCGCACGGAGAATAGGATTCCGAGTTTTGGAGATCCTTTTTATCAATCCAGCCAGTTTTTTTAATCGGGTAAGTCCGGAATAACAACAAACCAAAATGTTTAGACTTGATCATCTTGACAAGAGTTACCGTGACCTCGTGTTCGAGACGAATGGACACAGTTCATTAATTAACGCTTTTAACCTCGGTTGGAAAGCGTTAAAAAAATCAAACACCCTTTATCCGAGCAAAAAGTTACTTTGGAAGCAGCGGTAAACAATAATTATCTCACGTGAATTGACATCAAGTCAAATTAATATCCAAGAAATATTGATGCGTGCGCAGACACACAGCTACTGAACTGGAGCCTAACACTGCCACAAAAGCATTCATTAGATTCAACCTCTAATCTGAGAGGATACATCTTCTTGGTTCTTTCGGTAAAGTCACGTAGAAGGGAAGTAATAAAATAATAAAAAATAAAACATAATAAAATAAAATAATTCTCACGACGTTTCTTTTATTATGTTTTATTTTATTATGTTTTATTTTATTTTTATTATTTCATTACTTTCCTTCTACGTGACTTTACCGAAAGAACCAAGAAGATGAATCCCTGCAGTCACGAAAGCTTTAAAACTGAGAGGATACGTTTTATTTTTATTCTCTTTAAGACTTTTGTGGTTAGTGGACTATGGCAGATTAGCAGGCTTCATAAATGATCAGAGCTACAGATGTGCAATGGCATTAAACCCACATGGGATGAACTGACAGATGACTTACTGATGACATGGAGATTATATCCCACCCGGTACATAATGAATAGATAAGTTCACTTGGTTATGGTCCACTTAGGGCCCCAAGTCAATGTCTGTGGTGCACATGTGGGTTTACATGTGAGATGTGTACACGAGTGTGTACTTGTCCGTCCTTGACAAAACATGTGTGACCGTGTCTTTGTGTGTCCGGTGACCCGGGTTCCATTCATGCTCACGGCCAACACCAGTGGCAATTATCTGAACCGGTCTTGAGCCTCCCCTAGGTAGACTCAGCCTCAAAATAAGTACCTGGCGCAGCATGTAAACATCGCCACTGGAGAGATAAAGGCGGTCGGGCATGGTGCTGGCCATCCACCCCCTCGTGTACCGTTCCGGCCTTCATAGGTGCTCGCTAACAGCACTTGCCTCAACAGTCTGTTAAGGCTACACGGGAGATCTTTGTCTATGTGTGTTAAAGTCATGATGAGCGATCGGTTGTGATCATTAGGTGCGCAATATATCAATGTATCTCTTCATCAGATGCAAAATGATACAGCACTCAAGGTAAATGCATTTAACTTTGACGAATATAAATTATTGATACATGTATATTATATGCAAATTATATTCACATGCCATATTATATGCCAACGGAGTGAACAATTCTGTACTACACCATTGGAACCTCCTTTGCCAGTAGCAAATTATGATAATTGTTTCTTTACCCTTTTATCTGGCAACAAAACTGACACCTTTTTTACAAGGAGTCATGTTTGCATTGACCACAATACCTGCGGTCGGAATGCAAACAAAAAACACGACTCTGATAATGTATGCACTGTCCTTGAAATTGATTGGTCCACACCCGAGACAGCTTTTCTTAGAGCCTCGTCTCACATGGTGTTATAAATGGTGTTGTAAATGCTTACCCCGAGCTCTCATACTCTGATGGTGCATTGTCTTTGAGTTTTGCGCCTTTTGGCATCATCTGGTCCAACACCATGTGAGACGAGGCTCTAAGAAAAGCTGTCTCGGGTGTGGACCAATCAATTTCAAGGACAGTGCATACATTATCAGAGTTGTGTTTTTGTTTGCATTTCGACCTCAGGTATTGTGGTCAATGCAAAATGACTCCTTGTAAAAAAGGTGTCAGTTTTGTTGCCAGATAAAAGGGTAAAAAAAACAATGATCAAATTCTGCACTAGCTATATCCACTACAAAATAAAAATGAGGCTGACAATAACCAAATTCTGGAATCGAATTGCGAGTCCAATTGTGATCTCACATTGTGACTTATACCACGTGTTGTTGAGCATGTCTGACGTTTCACTTCACATTCTGGTGGCTTGCTCAGGAAAAAAAAATCAGTTCCTGATGAAGCTAGATCCTGAAGATAGTTCACTATCTCCCTCCTACGGCAAGTGTTGGACCGACTGTACTCAAATCAAGTGGCGTCAATGAGCAAGTGATGCAACTTCCACAAAACCATGGCAGGATCCAGTCTCTACGACAATCACTGTTGAGATAGCACACATACCTTATTACCATTATTAGTTGTTCCTTATCCTCATTTTATACTGATTGTGCTATTGGAATCATGTCACGAGGTGATTTCTGGTCCATCACTCGGCAGTAAAAGCGACATTTTCGATTCTCAGAAGTTTAAATTTAGCCAAATTAGGTGCATAATTACACTTAATGTGACGTTTTGATGCAGCCAATGATGACTGGACTGAGAAGAGCAACGCACTGTGCTTGAAAACTTAGTTGAATCACCATTGGGGTGCGGACCGTAGCCAACCGCGCTAATCTGACCAGTTCTAAAGACGTGAGTTTGTTGCGTGGTGCCAGACCAGAAGCTCCGTCCCCCGAACAGACTTCATCGTGATACGCATCCCCCGGACGTAGCGAATCAGCCGACACGCGTTGCGTTCGGGCGCGTGGCACTTACTGGTGTGTGGCGACGGACATGTAGTGTCCGTACAGGCTGTGGACGTCATAGTGTCTCCCCAGCGTGTGTACGGCATCCATGCAGAGCGTCTTCGAATACAAGAGTCCGTCAAGAATACCTTTAAAAAAACAAAAACAGACACATGCACGTGCAAAGGACGCGCCATCAGCACACAAGCCACACATGTACAATAATTGCACCCTAAGGGGTCAGCTCGCATTGCAATTGCTCACGTAAGTGGGGGTGTCTTCCAGCCAGAACGTGGCACTCTCTCTCTCTCTCTCCCTTTTTTTTCTCAAGCAAAATAATTGAAGCCCACAGGGCAGAGCGAGCAACACTTTGCAAAAATTAACTGCTTCCTGCGCTGTGTGGCGGCAAAAGGTCACGGCAATCCTCCTGTTTCCGATAATTTAACTTTTTTTTTGTTGCACGGGATCATTTACCCTTGGTTCATCTCTCCAGCGGAGATGGGACGCGTAGCTCAACAAAGGAGATTCTCCTCGGAGCTCCTCATTATATTCCATAGATCATCCACGGATGATCTACCGGTCGCCGCTTTCCACACACTCACAAACTAAATCTCGGCACGCTTAACACCTGCCGATAATAAGTCTTCTTTATAACGCCGCAAGATAAAGGAAACATACATCTCTACGTTTAATCAAAGCTGTGTTTAACCTTTTCAAATCCAAGCCACCTTTGACTGGGACAGATGGCAAAGGAGTTCTATTAATGGATGCCAGTGTGTTATAGACATGGTTTTGGCTGGGAAACACAAGAGTAAGGGCGCAAAGAACATTTTCCTGGGCTAAATTTCTGGCCTGTTATCAAACCCATCATCCTGTCTCTGCCAGCTGGGCCGGGCACGTGCAAGCAGTCTGATCATATGAATCACGTGTTGGCCACAAGGAGAACACTCGCAAGTTGGCTGGGCAAAAAATGCCACGTGATGGGGTTTGTTTTCACATTTTATTTAAAAAATATTTCTCAAACGTAACAACGACGTAAGTTTTGTCCGTTGACTAATAAGGTAGTAGTGGTTTTCATAGCCTTCATCATCACCATCATCCGTATGGGCCAGGGATGATTTACTGCTGAGTGAAGGCCTGCCCATGTTATCACCATACTCATCCCATAATTCCTTCAGTGTTCAATAAACACTGCCTAGTAAGTAACCATAGGTAGGGAAAGGAAACCGTGGTTAAATCGCCCTCCAGACAGACTGGCCCCACCATGGAAATGTGGATTGACTCTACCTGGCTCAGGGCCACAGATAAATATGAGCACAGCTCGTCGATGGGACGAGGAGGAGGAGGAGGGGGTGAAGGGGGAACACACATTGACATTTCTGGGTCCCCCGTCGACAGCTGCAATATCTATTAACAGTTTTGACTCGATCGCACACATTCACTCTGCGTGCCTGGATGAACAATCGTCACTGGGGGCATCAGCGACCCCTGATTGTTAATCCTACCCCCAATGCCTTGGAGGAGCCTTTCCATCTGACATTAGGGTTGTTGCGCAGACGTAAGTATCTCGGCAACAAACTGGCAGGCCGGGTGAGACGGCAGACATTAACAGGAACGGTATTGAGCAGCGATTGTTGTTGGCTTTTTTATATATACCTGCCCTCCTTACAATTTCAATCACAGCCGAGTGACTCGCGCGCAAAAAAACGGGGCTGTAGTTACACAAACACGGGGGTGGTGGGCGGGGGGGGAGGCGAGCACACGGGCGTACGGCAGAGCCGGCACAATCGAAAGGCGAAACCGAGAACATTAATCAATAGGGAGCAAGAGGGAATGCCGTCCATGTGCAAACAAAACACTCCCTAATGCCCGTCCCCGCGAGATGCAAGGTGAAATTTAACTCTTTGCTGTGTGGACGCTTGGCGTCCACGTTTTTCTCCGGTAGGCAAACGCACGAGGACAGCGCAGCACGACCTGACCGCTCGTGTCCAGCGTGGTGTCTGTGCGTGGCATCGACTGTCGCTTTCTGCAGACGTTCACGAATTTTACCTGGTGCAGAGATGTTAACTATCTCGCCTGGTATAGAGGAGATGGTGCGTTCTATCTCGACCCTCGTGTCTGTGACGGTCCCACCTGATGACGGAGACTTGTGTTGCCTCCGAAACGTCGTGATTTATTATTTTATTTCTATTATTTTTATTATTTTTTATTTACATTTTTTTATTTTTACCTACGTGACTTTACCGAAAAAACCTAAGAGTATGAATCCTTGCAGTCACGAAAGCTTCAAATCTAGAATGTATATTTGGAGTTTGCATGTTTCTCTCCACATTGTCGCGTGGATTATTATCTCCGGGTCCTCCGGTTTTTCCCTCCACATTTAGAAACGTGCGTTTAGAGTATTTGTCTGCTATACATTTCCAGGTGATAAGCCACTTCGTTGAGCTATTATTTTTGTTAAGGTCGCTTCTTAAAAATAGCTATATAGCTCAGTCGGGCCTTACCTGGTAAAATAAAAAAAAATAGTTTACTTTTAGTATGCTTTAGCTTGCGTCGATTCTCTCACTTCTAAAATGCAGTGAAGTATTTCCTCATGTTTAAGTAGTTTGAGCTTAAACTTGATTTGGAGCTGTCGTGACTGCAGGAATTACTCTTTGGTTCTTTCGGTAAAGTCACGTAAAAAGAGAAAATAACACATTCAATAATAGCATACGACGTTTCGATTGCAACACAAGCAATCATCATCAATCTACATGACTTTACCGAAAGAACCAAAGAGTAGTTTGAGTTTACTTCTTTGTTCAGTATCTTGTTCGGTTTGCCCAGTCTAACTGTCATTGTATTCATATTATTAACCCAAACATACATTTTAGAAAGGAAAACGTCTACATTTGTACGAATCAACTTGCATTGTTAATATTATTATTTCGCTAGTTTACTCAGGAAAGCCTGAATCTCAATACTCTTTTGCAAGGGGGTGCTGCCAAGTTTTTGCAGGCGGGGGGCGATGTTACGGTGCGTAATCCAAAATGAGAAATTTAAAGCATTTTTTCGGCATTGGATGTTTGGCCAATATTTGCTCACACTTTGTGTGTTTCTTTTAGGGGTCGTCCATAAATGACGTCACGCGTCACACGGCGTCACAAGAAGGCAGACACCCCCCCCCCCTCAAATATGACGTCACAAAGCGCTGTCCCCTCCCCATCATAAAAATAAAACATGCTTGAAATCGCTTTAAACTATTGTCATTGTAGTCCGTATTTAATGTGGCGCTGCACTCTGATGTTGTAGGAGAAAACATTTATGAAAAAGTATATTTAATTAAGTAGAACGTGTTATCTATATTTATTTAAAGTTGCGCATTTTGACGTGACGTCATATTTATCAACCCCCCCCCCCCCTCTTGTCACACATCGTCACAAATGTCTGAACCCCCCCCCCCCAGCTGCGTGACGTCATTTATGGACGGCCCCTTAGCTCTGGAAGGAAACCAGAGGATGTAACCAATGCAGAACATGGGGAGGACATATACTCCACAGGCAACCACGTGCCATCCTGCTACTCGCACGTGTTGTTATTATTATTAATCGAGTTAAAATGCTACATTACCGAGATTCACATCGCCCCCTTTCTAATTTCCAGAGAGGGAGGTTTCGTGAGAAGTGTGTAGTCGTTAAAATGTACACCCGCGTACAGCAGCAGTGTGTAGTCGTAACAATGTACACCCGCGTACAGAGGAAGTGACACTCACGAGTTCCGCATGGTCGGATTCAAGAAATCGTTCCTGCACTGCCACATTCTGGCCACGTAACAACCCAAGCCTACAACGCTTGGTTATTCCCAGACAGTCGCCGATCTCAGCACAAAACAAGTATAACCCGTAAAAACAAAGTTTTTCACTATAAATCCTTTATATGCGTGGCGGCTAGAGTCCTCTCGTCCTCTGGCTTGAGATGGCTGCCACCTATGGGTCAGATGATTGTCTGCCAGTATTAAGCAATTGGTAATTAAATATTTAATTTGTTTTCCCTAAACAGTATAAAATGTAGGAAACATTTTTTCACGAACATTAATTGTCTCGCACAACGAGTCTGTGTGCAAAATGTCAGCTCGATTGGATCACGGGAAGTGGGTTAAAAAACGACCGAAAGATTTGCACGGTCGTAAGCAAGCAAGCACGCAAGCAAGCAAGCGAACTTAATATAAAGGATTTAAAAAGGAACAGGGCAGGATTAAGGTTCATTCTAGATTTGAAGTTTTCGTTACTGCAAGGATCCATACTCTGTGGTTCTTTCGGTAAAGAGTCCGGATTAAGGTTCTTGTAGGCCCTTAGGCACTTCTGTTTCGGAGGTCTTCAGTGATAACTTGCTACAGTTGCTACTGCTGCCCCATGCCACTACTGCCGCTGTCACTCCGCTTGTTTCACGCGGCAGTTCGTCCAGCCGCTGGACAGACGTCGTTACCGCTGATATGTGAATTGTTTAGTCTGTGCCCTAATTCGATGGGAGCGTGTGCTGTGTGCAGTAGATAAGCACATTGAATTTGATATAATTGAGAAAAAAACAAGGTAAGCCTAAAAATATGAAAATAAGATATTTTGGTTAGATTTTTTTAATCACACAAACAAAAACATGATAATTTTGTTTTCGTAGGCCCTTTAGTTTGTGTAGGCCCTAGGCACAGTGCCAACAGTGCCTCTTGGATCATAAGCCTTTTGCCAGTCCAAGGACGGGCGTATTGCATCCATTCGTGTGCATTTTGTAAGGCCGCGGTGACGCAGACTTATTTCATTTAAAGGTTTTATCCCTTACTCTTTGGTTCTTTCGGTAAAGTCACGTAGGTAGACAAAACGTTTTAATCGCAACGCAAGCAACAGTCTTCACCTGAAGATGAGAAGACGGTCACTTGCGTTGCGATCGAAACGTCGCGATCTATTAGTTTGTCTACCTACGTGACTTTACCGAAAGAACAGAACAGTATGGATTCCTGCAGTCACGAAAGCTTCAAATTAATATTCTAATCCCTTGTTCATCATAACGTCCTTTTTACTCTGATGTCTCAACAGCGTTATGGAGATCGCGTGACGTGAGGGTTCTGCCTTTGTAGTGAGGGTTGTGAGTTGACGCCGAGGAGGGGGGAGGAGGCGCCT